GGTTTAAAAGCGAAGTGACTCCCGCCGCAGCGGGGCCGGGGGCGTCTGGGCACGCGGCCCTGCGTTTCGGGCAGCCTCGGAAAGCCAGAGAGCTGCCTCTTAAGTTTTTGTAACTTAAAACTAGAGTTTTTGCAAATTGTGGTCACTCAGCCGTCCTCCCCCTTCCCCCCGAACAGCCTCCCAGCCCGCCGAACAGGACCCGATCGAAAAGCAGATCGGGAAGGCCGTGGGCAAGAGCGACGTCTGGTTCCGGTTTAACGAAGGCGTTTCCAATGCTGTCAGGAGGAATATTTACATTAAGGACTTGCTGTAGCGGGAAAGAAGGGAAAGCGAAGGCTTATGTACCGAACAGAAAGAAAAAGCTGACTTTCAGCTTTCTAACTAACAGAGGCGGTGTGTGAGGATGTTCCTGATTTTTTTTTTCTTTTGTACCTAGCTGTTTTGTAAAAATAAATAAGTGATAAAATAGAAAAATAGAAATAAATAAACCATGAGGTCTAGCTCTGTTTATTTCACTTATAAACGCTTAGTTGTCATATTTTGCCTGTTTTGCTGCAAAATTGTATGTTCTACAGTTTACAAAAGGATATGTAAAATTACTGAAAACGTCTTATAAAAGTGTTCTTCCCTTATACTTTCAAAGAGGCTGTCAGGTTCACAGCAGTGGTGGCGGAGGCAAGGGAAGGTTTGTAATTGGAAACTCAGGGATAACCCAAGAGGCGCCTTTGCCTGTTTGGTGTTGCTGCTTCCAGGTCCCGGCTGCAATGCAAATCAGTGTTTCTCTGAACAATTTTGCCCATCCTGCGTATGTTTTCTTTACCCGACATAAAAAAGAAACACTTCTACTAGTAGAAATAATAAGACAAGAGGAGGGTAGGGTTTTTGTTCAGTTGGTCATAGTAGGAAACTAACTAATAAAAAAAAAAAAGTACATTCAGCATTAACGCAAGAGCAACTAAGTCAGTAGGAGCCGTTCTGCTGCCGGCTGGCGAGGTCGATGCGGGCCCATCAGAGGATGGTGCATTTTCCTTTCTCCACCCACGGGTTGTTTTTCATCAGCTCTGGGTTCAGAAACGGGTCCTCGGGGATGCCATCTTCTATCCATTTAACAAACCTATGGGGAGGCAGGGAGAGGGAGGGGGGTTAAGCATCCCAGGCCTTTGCCTTTATCCCTGCCTCCTGGGCCAGTGCAAATTAACCCTTCCCTTAATGGCTGTGTTTTGCACCGAAGTGGCAACATTCAGCCAAGCACTTCACAGCATTAATCCCCCCCTCCTGCCCCAGGGTGGGATGCTGTTCACTTGGACCCAAAGCAGGGAAAAATGCAATGTTTTCGGTGCAGCTGCAGAACGGGGCAGGGGGAAGCTGCAGTGCCGAAGTGCATCCGCACTGGTGTGCAGCAAAGCCAGGGTGCATCCTGCGCTGGTGTGCAGCACCACCCAGCTTGTAGCCTGCTCTGATTTGCAGCATCACCCAGGCTGCATCCTGCTCTGGTTTGCATCACGCTCAAGCTCTACCAGTGAGCTGGTACATGCCCAGCTGCGGGCTACCAGCTGCCTCCTGCACGCTTTGTTTGTCTGGCCCCTATTTTTGTTTCTTCCCTGCATAACACTGCCTGCATGTGCTGCCTAATCTTGTCTTTCATCCCCCTCCTGCCTGGGTCTCAGCAGCTGCCAGGCTGCATCCTGCTCTGGTTTGCATCACGCTCAAGCTCTACCAGTGAGCTGGTACATGCCCAGCTGCGGGCTACCAGCTGCCTCCTGCACGCTTTGTTTGTCTGGCCCCTATTTTTGTTTCTTCCCTGCATAACACTGCCTGCATGTGCTGCCTAATCTTGTCTTTCATCCCCCTCCTGCCTGGGTCTCAGCAGCTGCTGCTGGACGGCAGGGCTGCCAAAGTTGCCCTTTGTTTTCTGCCTCCCCCTTAGAAGACGCCAGCTTGCAGGGAAAGCCCTGGAGGCTGGGCCAAAACGCTTCACCAGCAGAAAGGTACAAAAGAAGGAGGCGAAATGTCTTTCTTTACTTTGTTTTACAGTTTTAAGTGGTGCGATCTTTGCATTTTT